ATGTTTTCAGCCCTGAAAGTGCTACACAGCTTTTGGTTTAGTTTATTGACTTTTATTTTCAGCCCTGTCCTACTTAATTTTCTTTATAAACTACAGAATGTACAATTTTTGAGACAAGATGGTTATTGGCAAGCATGAATATGTTATCCCCATACACAAATATACCTAACAATGCAAGTTTGGAAGTCAATAAACATTTTCTTAAACTGGTCCTTCTAATATCACTTCTTATATTTCACCTGCCTTACATTTAGTAATTACGTCTTCAAAGGGACTGTAAATACAAATTGGTCGAAAGGCCATGGGGAGTTCAGCACTTTCCACATAGACTTAACCTTTATTTGCCTTGTAGTGGCTATTTACAAACATGGCTGCTCTACTTCGGTGACATTTTTATTATCTGGAGGAGCAGCCTCTCTCTTTGATTCATTTGTTAATTTTATCAAAACAAATTTATCTAAATGTATGTGAATTCAATTGAATGTAACCCTGTCAAAATCAAGTACTTGCTCCCCCTATCCCCACTTTCCTTAACAAGTGCCAATTCTTAAAGAGGAGTAGGGAGGAGGCCATAAAGCCGAATGTCCCCTTTTGCGCAAAGCTCTGCTTTAACTAATAATGTTTGATATTTTGAAGAGTTTGCCTTAAGATATTTAATATACTTTCAAATTTTGATTGTTGAATGACTGTGTTTGTGTCCATCGGTTTGTTTCGGCCTAACCTGTGTTTATTTTGTTACGTTATGTTAGCATCTCTTAGACTGGTTGTTTATGTTCTTTGTGGCTTGCTTGGGTCCTCCAGTGATGATTGGTTAGACGACAGAGGAACTGTGTTCCTATTTGCCAGCAGGAGATGACCAGTGTCTTGACTTGCTTACAATTTCTGCATAGTATGCACAGTTGTGTTCAAAATAATAGCAGTCAGACATCACTAACCTGATCAATCACTGTTTTTGGTAGAAATTATATTTCTATATGGCAAATAATTTACTAGCAGGTGTAGTAGAGTAATAGAAATCCAACAGACCCAACAGTCATGACATGCATGCTGCTGACTCTGTGTAATTGAATCACTAATTGAAAGGGGCATGTTCAAAATAATAGCAGTGTGGAGTTCTATTAGTGAGGTCATTCATTCTTTGAAAAACAGGTGGAAATTATTGCCCTTATTTAAGGAAAGAAGGCAGCAAATGTTGTACATGCTGGTTACAGTGCATTTCTCTCTGAAATTCTGAGGAAAATGGGTCGTTCCAGACATTGTTCAGAAGAACAGCATACCTTGATTAAAAAGTTGATTGGGGAGGGGAAAATATATAAAGAAGTGCAGAAAATGATAGGCTGCTCAGCTAAAATGATCGCAAATGCTTTAAAATGGCAACCAAAACCTGAAAGACGTGGAAGAAAGCGAAAAACTACCATTCGAATGGATAGAAGAATAGCCAAAATGGCAAGGACTCAGCCAACAATCAGCTCCAGGAAGATCAAAGAAGGTCTAAAGTTACCTGTGAGTACTGTTACAATTAGAAGATGCCTATGTGAAGCCAAGCTATCTGCAAGAAGCCCCCGCAAAGTCCCACTGTTGAAAAAAAGACATGTGCTGAATAGGTTACAATTTGCCAAAGAGCACATTGACTGGCCTAAAGAGAAATGGTGCAACATTTGTGGACTGATGAAAGTAAGATTGTTCTTTTTGGGTCTAGTGGCCGGAGACAGTTTGTCAGACGACCCCCAAACACTGAATTCAAGCCACAGTACACTGTGAAGACAGTGAAGCATGGTTGCGCAAGCATCATCATATGGGGATGTTTCTCATACTTCGGTGTTGGGCCTATTTATCGCTTACCAGGGATCATGGATCAGTTTGAATACATCAGAATACTTGAAGAGGTCATGCTGCCTTATGCTGAAGAGGAAATGCCCTTGAAATGGGTGTTCCAACAAGACAACGACCCCAAATACACCAGTAAACATGCAACATCTTGGTTCCAGACCAACAAGATTGACGTTATGGAGTGGCCAGCCCAATCCCCGGATCTTAATCCAATAGAAAACTTGTGGGGTGACATCAAAAATGCAGTTTCTGAGGCAAAACCAAGAAATAGAGAAGAACTGTGGAATGTAGTCCAATCATCCTGGGCTGGAATACCTGTTCACAGGTGCCAGAAGTTGGTTGACTCCATGCAACACAGATGTACAGCAGTTCTCAGAAACAGTGCTTATACAACTAAATATTCATTAAGTGATTCAAAGGAAAGCAAAATCTTCAAACATTTTTCAGTTTATATAGTGAATGTTTGAGTTTGTAAAGAATACAAACACTGCTATTTTTTTGAACAGTCTAATATTCACTTTGCTTCAATTTTTTTAGAGGAACAAAACAAATTTGATATATTTTTCTTCATGTTTTGATTTGGAATAGAATGTGTAGTGTTTCCAATGCATTTGTGTGTATGGAAATAAAACTATTAGGATTTTGAGCTTTATTCACTTTTTTCAACACACTGCTATTATTTTGAAAACAACTGTATGTGGTGCATTCCAGTCTCTGTAGCTGGAATCCATGCTTGATTCCTTATCAACATCCTGCATATGAGGTTCATAGGTAAGCAAAACACATACACATTACTTATGTACATGGGAATCAGCTGGGGAATAAGGTGGGTCCCAAGTAGATCTTGTTAGGATAATTCATTGTGTCATATAATGCTGTTGTTCACTCTGCACAGTATATCTGTCAGCTTAGTTAAAAGGGATCTGGATATCCCCGAAACGTCAATGGAATACCGCTTTTTAAATTTTCATTTTAGGCCCCTTTCACATGGGCAATGCGATCAGGTCTACCTGTCAGTTTTTCAGGTGGACCGGATTGGATGGTCCACGTATCCCTAAGGATCAGTGGGTGTAAACCAACTTGTGTCCATTTCCACCCTCCTACCTCCAATCTGATCTGGTCTGATTAAAAAGAAAAAAAAAAAAAAAGAAGGGGATCCGTCCTCCTCCATCTAGGCAGATTGGATCAGAGGGCAGTTGGGTGGAAACAGACAGTCCATAGAGCAGAGTGGGCTCTGTATATGTCCGGTCAACATAAATTGAGCAGACACGGATCTGTCATCTGCCCGCTCTGCTTTGATCAGCGGAGAGATCCCCTGCTGAGCAAATTGAATATTGCCTTGTATGAAAGGGCCTACATCTGTTTACATACTGAAAAATAAAATTATACAATCAATCATTCCTTCTTTTACCAGCTATGGCATGCCTTACAGCATTGTAGAAATAACAGGCTTTTGATGCATACATACATAAGAACACAGCCAAACTTTGGTGACCACCTCCCAGGATGACAGGTTGATTGGAGAGTTTAGAAAACCACTTTTGATTGATACCATTTGTCACTAGGATAAAGGGTGCTTCAAGAGACTGCCTTTTATTGCTCTCCCCACTTCCCTCCTTTGTGCATATGAGTAAATTAGCCATGTTTACAGATCAAAAATCCCAAAATATCCAGCGCATCTCAGAGAAGTCTTTTTCAAGATGTTTTTTTTTTTTCTTTTTCAAGCATATTTGTACAGCTTTAAGATTTTTAAAAGAGAACAGAAATTGATGTACAATGTTTTATGTTTTCTAGATGTTCCAGATAACCAGGTCAGGTCACGTCTAGAAGAATGGGAGGTATATTTGTGTTTGTAATGTTGCTATTTTGTTTTTTCATATCATGTTTTTACATTTACCTCTAATTTTAACCCTTTCATATCCAGAGCCTCTTTCTTTTCTTTCATTTCACACTCACATACTAAAATGCAAATTTTTTACATGAAAATACATTTTAAAAACCCTTTAAATATATTTTCTGTAGAAAATAATGGTGGTAGCTTAATTTATTTATGTCACATATTTGCTCTACTGTTTATCAGGTAAATATTTTTAGTAAAAAATTAGTTCACGTTTATATTAGTGAACATAAACACAATAAAATACAATTTTTTTTAAATATTATAAGATGTAAAATATAAAAAATGAGGTTGCGTAGACTAAACAGATACCATAGACAATGCTTTAAAAGGTCATCAGTTTGTTTTTCACCATGAATGATAGCCCTAGAGTTATTGCACTCAGTTTAGCCTGTATGGCGATACCTAATATGTATGGTGAGATAGTTTGGCCACACGTGCATCCAGTGCACACATTTGAGTTTCCAAGGGCAACAGATATTTTCCACTCTCCTACTGCTCTTCATCCTGACACCTACCATGAATGGCCATGGCTGCTTAAAAGGGACAGGTAAGCCCGGGACATATTGCAGGGGTGGGTACCATGTAAAAGTGATTGTGTGGCTTTACAGCTTCCTGAATCACTGCGACTGGAATGTTGGCAGCTGTAACTTAAAAGGTAAACATAATAGTGGGCTGAGGGGGAAGGAGGAGGCGTTGCAAAGGCACTGTCACTTTGCCTTTCAAGGGAAATGGTACAGTGTCTCTTTCAGGGAAACCTGCACAGAGGAAAGTTATATAGGCTGCCATTGATGTCATCCACCAAAAAAGAAAAGATGTATATATGAACTCAGTTCTTGGCTGTCATGATCTTCATTGCTTGCTTCCTTTTGAAAATGCTAGGTCTTTGCCTTCCTCTGCCTTCAATTCTTTAAAGTAGAACTATAGGCAAAACTTTTTTTCGTTTTGGATAGAGTAAAGGATGGGTATAACCCATGTCAGTTTTTTTACCTAAACTATTCTAACCATCTTTCATAAACCCCCTGTTTGCAGAGCTTCTTTGGTTACACTCAAAATTTTCCATTAGTGAATGAATCGAAGGAGTCACTAATACCCAAGACCCCATTTGTTCCCTATGCTGGCTTTGCTTCAGTATTATAGAACAAGTCCGGTTGAATATGACTGACTACTACTAGTCTGCTGGGTTTTTTTTTATTGGACATATAATAGTTACATATTAGTTGAGAAACAGTCCCAAGGGACTATATAAGCAGCTAATACTTCAGAAGGAAAGATGCATGGTTTGACTTGTTTTTTGTGTACTTTTCTTACCCCAGAACGTGAAAATAATTTCCCTCCATTGCCTAAATTCATCCCTCTGCGTCCCTGTTTCTATCAGAATTTTGAGGATGAAATTCCTTCGCAGCACAGAACATTGGTACGGAGGATCTACCATTTGTGGATATGTAAGTACTCCAAGAAGACTGTCACATTATACTGCCTCATTCGGTTGCACTAAAAAAGAAATGTTGGTAGATCTTGAGTAGTCAATGTACAATATTGGCCAAGGACTACAGGTGGCACATTTTTCAACAATTTAGGATCTTTTTGGCTTGGTTCACCCAGAATGTAAGAAATATGACTAACAGGCAAAAATCCATGTAAAGCAGGTAAAACACTGCTGTATGTGACACATCTTTCAGCGTACACAATCATTGTATGACACAGAAGTGTACCAGTAAAGCCCCGAACGTTCAGTTTTTTTTTATATGTAGTCAAATTAGTGTTATAGAGATGTGTTAAAAACAACCTGTCTGGTTGGAGCTTGCATGTAGCCATGGGTATCCTCTAATACTATACCCATAGAATTAATCATTTTTGTGTGAATCTGTCTTGGAGCATGTACAGCTATTTTGGAATAGTCAACTTGATTCTAAGCCTGTTTACCTCCTGGAGCAAATCCCCCAGCCGTTTAGGCCTCATGCACACTGCAGCTCAAAAAAAGCTGCTTCTTCTAGCATTGAGCTTTTTTTTTTTTTTACTCTGGCTGTAAATTCCCCTCCATGTTAGCCTATGAGAGGGATTTACTAAAATGGGTGCATTCAGAATCTGGTGCAGCTGTGCATGGTAGCCAATCAGTTTCTAACCTCAGCTTGTTCAGTTAAGCTTTTGGTAATAAAACCTGAAAGCTGATTAATTTATATGCAGCGTGACAACAGATTTTGCATTCTCCAGCTTTAGTAAATAACCCCCTATGTCTCCATGCACACTATAGGCATTTTCAGGAGTTTAGTGACGGGAGTTTCCAGGAGAAAAAAAACCATCACTTGGTTGTTCAGGAGAAAAGCTTTTAAGCATAAAAAATGCTCAAAAGCACATTAACGCACATTAACACTAGTTAGTGGTAGGCGTGTTAACGAGCATTCTCATGTTAAAGGATAAGTTCACCTTTTGGACAAAAATAATAAATACACATTTTGCAGGTAAAAAAATGTGCATTTGTTATTTTTGTCCAAAGGAGCCTGGAAAGCATTGCACCAGTGATCAGTAGATCGCTGATGCAATGCAGATCTCTTGCAGATCTGTCAGAATATCTGATTGCAATATGGGATGCACAGTCAAGCAGATATTCTGACAGGAAGCTTCAATGAAGTACCACGGCACTCCACAGCACTGTGGTAGTTCATTGAAAAGTACAAGCTGACAGCTGCTTAGGCTGTTGGGACATGCAGTTCATTCATTCACGGAAGTCCGTGAATCAATGATGCGGCCGTGTGGGCAGAGCTGCACAGCCGCAATGTTTTCAATAACCCATTTTTTTAGTGTGTTTTTGATGCTGTAAACTCCTGTAGGAGAAGAAATTTCAAGCTCACAGTGTGCATGAGACCTTAAATGCACAGTGTGAGTGTCTCAGTGACCATCAGCGGTTATTGTAATGGACAATGATTTTTTTGCCCAGTATCTCTCATTTGCTTTCTGGCTAAGACAGTTGATTACAGGCAAATATGGGAATTCTAACTGTATGGCAGGCTAGGACCCTTACTGTTTGTGTGGAAGCAGTGGTCTCTCCGCAGAGGTTCAACACGCTCCCCATTCAGCAGTAAGCATGGGCTTCACTGATAGCAGTGCTATAAAGAGGGCTGTAAGTTGCAACATGTTTTACAATAGTAACACAAGGTTTTCAAGATAGAAGCATCCATCTAGGGTTCACTGTTGTTACAATGTAGGACGTTCTGTTAATTACAGATTACAATATAATTCTCCTGTTTTCCATAGTTTATTGCCTGTCCCTTGCTGTAAACCTGGTTGCTTGCCTTGCTTGGTGGATTGCAGGAGGTTCTGGAGTGAATTTTGGATTATCTTTGCTGTGGCTGGTCATGTTCAGTCCTTGCGGATATGTGTGTTGGTTTCGCCCAGCATACAAAGCTTTCAGGTAAGTCCTCTGTCTGACTTTTTCAGGACATCCTAGTCTCCACTCACAAAAGCATAATGCTGTGTTTTAATTACTGTGAGTAATATTTGCCTTTTGTTTCTAAGCAAAAATGTATGTTTAACCGCCTCCCCGCCCGCCATATAGTCCAATGACGGGCGCAAGGTGGTTCTCTCGTTCTGGGAGGACGTCATATGACGTCCTCCCATTCTCACCGCACATGCGTGGCTTGGGGAGCGCGCAGTGCGGCGATCGCTGATGCACTGTGTCCCTCGGACACAGCGGATCACCGATCCACGGAAAGAGCCGAACATGTCGGCTCAGTCATGTGATCAGCTGTGCCCAATCACAGCTGATCACATGTAAACAGGGAAATGCCAGTTATCGGCTTTTCTCTCCTCACGAGCTGTCACGCTCGGTAATCGGCATTCCTCGGAGGGGACATGGGCACTGATGATCAGCAGTGCCACCTGTCAGTGTCCATCAGTGCTCATCCATACCACCTGCCAGTGCCACATATCAGTGCCTATCATGCACATAAATGCCACATATCAGTGCCCATCTGAGCTGCCTATCAGTGCTGCCAATCAGTGCCACCTATCAATGCCAGTCAGTGCCGCCCTATCAGTGTGCATCAGTGCCCGTCAGTGCTGCCTATCAGTGCCAGTCAGTGCCAAGTATCACTGCCATGTATCAGTGCTGCCTTTCAGTGCCCATCAGTGATGCCTGTCAATGCCCATCAGTGCCACCTACCAGTGCCTCCTCATCAGTGCCACCTATAAGTGTCCATCAGTGCAGCCTCATTAGTGCATATCAGTGAAGGAGAAAAATCACTTATTTACAAAATTTTATAACAAAAACTAAGAAAAAACTTTTTTTTTTCAAAATTTTCTGTGGTTTTTGGTTTGTTTCAGAAAAAAGAAAAAATCCCAGAGGTGATTAAATACCACCAAAAGAAAGCTCTATCTGTCACAAAAAAATGATAAAAATGTCATATGGGTACAGTGTTGCATGACCGCGCAATTGTCATTCAAAGTGTGCCAGTGCTGAAAGCTGGAAATTGGCCTGGGCAGGAAGGGGGTATAAGTGCTCTGTAGGCTAGTGGTTAAAGAAGGCCAAACCTTTTTTTTCATTTTGATAGAGTAAGGAATGATTTCAACCCCGTCAGTTTCTTCCATCTGTCTCTCACTGTGGAGATTTCCCTTTTCTTGTCCCATGGCCAAAACAGGAAGTGAGAGAAAATCCCCCCAAAGTGAGGGAACCCCGGTGCATCACCAGGGTCACCAGAACTAGTGTCCCCATTGGAAGATTTCCCCTCTTTAACTGTTGTGTTAACCCAAAATTGGGATTTTCTTTTACTTTCACATTTGACGATAACGGCAAACAGGACAAATAGAGAGGGTGACTCTCCTTAATGGGGGCACAGAGCAATAAAACCTGACAGGCGATCCAGTCCCTCTCCACTATATCCAAAACTAAAAAAAAAATTTTGCCTTTTAGTTACACTTTAAATTCTGCAAAGACATTATTGGTTTAGAGGCGTGCACACCCCCTGCTGATCTGTGCTGTGATTGGACACAGCACACATTTGTCAGCAGGTTGATTTTAGCTGTGTACCTGCTGATTGGCTGTGGCCAATCACAGCACAGAGATCTCTGTGTTTGTAAACACAACACTCAGGATCTAGCTGGATTTCTTCCTGCTATCAGTTGCCGTTCAGAACTGAAAGCAAGGAGAGACCCAGCCAGATCTCTGAGTAAAAGCAGCACCCAGGCAGTGTCATTAGTACAGTATTATCACCGATCACTGTAGTAATGTCACTATCAATGTCAGTCAGTTAGCATCCCTCCCAGCCAGAGTCAGTTAGTGCCAGATTGCCCTCCACACTATCACAGTCACACTATAACCACCATTGCTAGTATAGTGTCTGTAAGGATCAGTATCGTAATCATGATCAGAACTATACTTGTGCCCCCAAAAACACAGTGTTAGATGTGGCATTTTTTTTTTACCAAAGACATGTAGTGGAGTACATTTTGGTCTAAATTTACGAAAATATTAGATTTTTTGGAGACACTCTGTATTTTTAACAGAAAGTAGAAAATATCTTTTTTTTTTCTATCTTTTTCATTTATATAATAAATAAAACACCTAGTGGTGATCAAATATCAACAAAAGAAAGCTCTATTTGTGTGAAATAAATTATATAAATTTCATTTGGGTACAGTGTTGCGTGACCGAGCTGTTGCCAGCAGGTAGCACAGTGTTGAATAGCAAAGAATGTCCGGGTCATGAAGGGGGTAAAACCTACTGGAGGTCAAGTGGTTAAATCTGCTATTGCATCTAAGACTCCTCTAACCCCCCCCCCCCCCCCCCCCCCCCCCACTGACCATTTGCTGCTTCATCCAGAGTGGAGGCTCTTTAACCGCTTCCCGTCCGCCATATAAGGAAATGACGGGTGGTGGCGGTTCTCTCGTTCTGGGAGGACGTCATATAACTGCACTGCAGCGGCATGGCAGTCTGTGGTATGCTGTGTCCCTGAGACACAGCAGATCACCGATCAGAGTAAAGAGGCGATGACGTTGGTTCTGTCATGTGATCAGCTGTGTCCATTCACAACTGATCACATGTAAATAGGAAATGCTGGTTATCGGCAGATCTTTCCTCACGCTAACAGCGTGTGAGGAGAGGAAAGCCGGTAATCGGGGACATCTACACTGATGATTAGTGCCCTGATGTTCAGTGTAGCCCCATCAGTGCCACCTGTCAGTGCCCATCAATGCCACTGTAATTGCCCATCAGTGCCACATACGAGTGCCCATCAGTGTACATCAATGCCACATATCAGTGCCCATCAGAGCTGCCTTTCAGTGCCAACTATCAGTGTTGCCAGTTAGTGCCACCTGTAAGTGCCAGTCAGTGCCGCCTATCAGTGCCTGTCAGTGTCGCCTAACCGTTCCAATCAGTGCTGCCTATGAGAGCCAGTCAATGCTGCCTATCAGTGCTGTCTATCAGTGTCATGTGAGTGCTGGCTTTCAGTGCCCATCAGTTATGTTTGTCAATGCCCACAAGTGATGCCTGTCAATGCCCAGCAGTGCCACCTATCAGTACAGCCTATCAGTGCCCATTACTGCAGCCTCATTAGCGCACATCAGTGAAGGACAAACATTTTTTTTCAAAATTTTCAGTCTTTTTTTAATTTGTTTAGCAAAAAATAAAAAAACTCAGTGGTGATTAAATACCACCAAAAGAAAGCTCTATATATCTCAAAAAAATTATAACAATTTTGTTTGGGTACAGTGTTGCATGACTGCGCAATTGCCATTCAAAGTGCGACAGCATTGAACACTGAAAATTGGCCTGGGCAGGAAGGGGGTAAAAGTGCCCAGTAGGCAAGTGGTTAATATATGAGGTGTGTTACTAACCAGATCACCAGGTGAAAAAAGAGGGGAAAAAGCCCCAAAGAAAGGGAAAAACAATGCAGTCATCGCATTTAATGATTGGTAAGCTGCAATATATTATATTTTTGGGTTTAGTACTAGAAATAAAAAGAACTTCTTTTGTTAACATACAGTGGGGATCGAAAGTTTGGGCACCCCAGCTAAAAATATGTATTAATGTGCATAAAGAAGCCAAGGAAAGATGGAAAAATCTCCAAAAGGCATCAAATTACAGATTAGACATTCTTATAATATGTCAACAAAAGTTAGATTTTATTTCCATCATTTACACTTTCAAAAAAATGGCGTCTGCAAAAGTTTGGGCACCCTGCAGAATTTATAGCATGCACTGCCCCCTTTGCAAAGCTGAGACCTGCCAGTGTCATGGATTGTTCTCAATCATCGTCTGGGAAGACCAGGTTATGTCAATCTCAAAGGTTTTAAATACCCAGACTCATCTGACCTTGCCCCAACAATCAGCACCATGGGTTCTTCTAAGCAGTTGTCTAGAAAACAAACTGAAAATAGTTGACGCTCACAAAGCTGGAGAAGGCTATAAGAAGATAGCAAAGCGTTTTCAGATGTCAGTATCCTCTGTTCGGAATGTAATTAAGAAATGGCAGTCATCAGGAACAGTGGAAGTTAAAGCAAGATCTGGAAGAAAAATATCAGACAGAACAGCTCGCAGGATTGTGAGAAAAACAATTCAAAACCCGCGTTTGACTGCACGATCCCTCCAGAAAGATCTGGCAGACACTGGAGTTGTGGTAAACTATTCCAATATAAAGAGATACTTGTACAAATATGGTCTTCATGGAAGAGTCATCAGAAGAAAACCTCTTCTACGTCCTCATCACAAAAATCATCGTTTGAACTTTGCAAATGAACATATAGACAAGCCTGATGCATTTTGGAAACAAGTTCTGTGGACCGATTAGGTTAAAATTGAACTTTTTGGCCGGAATGAGCAAAGGTACGTTTTGGAGAAGAAGGGGCACAGAATTTAATGAAAAGAACCTCTGTCCAACTGTTAAGCATGGGGTTGGATCAATCATACTTTGGGGTTGTGTTGCAGCCAGTGGCACAGGGAACATCTCACGAGTAGAAGGAAAAATGGATTCAATAAAATTTCAGCAAATTTTGGATGGTAACTTGATGCCATCTGTGAAAAAGCTGAAGTTAAAGAGAGGATGGCTTCTACAAATGGATAATGATCCTAAACACACCTCAAAATCCACGGGGGATTACATCAAGAGGCGTAAACTGAAGGTTTTGCCATGGCCTTCACAATCTCCTGACCTCAACATAATTGAAAATCTATGGATAGACCTTAACAGAGCAGTGCGTGACAGACAGCCCAGAAATCTCAAAGAACTGGAAGACTTTTGTAAGGAAGAATGGGCAAAGATACCTCAAACAAGAATTGAAAGACTCTTGGCTGGCTACAAAAAGCGTTTACAAGCTGTGATACTTGCCAAAGGGGGCAGTACAAGATATTTACTGCAGGGTGCCCAAACTTTTGCAGATGCTATTTTTTTGTTTTCGGTTATTTTGAAAGTGTAAATGATGGAAATAAAATCTAACTTTTGTTGACATATTATAAGAATGTCTAATCTGTAATTTGATGCCTTTTGGAGATTTTTCCATCTTTCCTTGGCTTCTTTATGCACATTTAATACAAATTTTTAGCTGGGATGCCCAAACTTTCGATCCCCACTGTAAATTATATCTGGGCCAAGGTGGAAATATATGTTAAGGGCATAGGGGAGAATCGGAAGAGGGGAAGGGAAACTTAGTATGAAAATGGATGCATACAGTATATACAGAGAGGGTAGGGTTTAGGTGGGGAGGGGTCAATGGGTATGGCCATGGTCAGGTTATTTTTAAAAGCTTAATAGGCAAACTGTCAAACCATCAACTGACTAGCATCATAACTGATCACATGTGCGGCACCATGGCAGTTTCAGATCAACCAGAGGCTAAGATGACCGCTTCCTTGGCCAAAAACAATAGGAGGGTTTAGTTCCACTTTAAAATAAGAGTGGTCCCTTACGTCCCCCTGGGTGGTCTGCTGCCAGCACTCTCTGCTCTTTCTTCTCTCCTGCGTGTGCCCCCTCAGCAAGAGCAGTGCTAATGATGCACCTCATTGTCACCTGTGAGACTGGATGAAAGAGGAGAGTGGTACTGCAGACAGGACAGTGCTGGATAGGTGAGAGGAGTCAGGTAAGTGTTTAGGGATGACTCTGAACTTGTATTTCTTGGTTGTTTTTATTTTGCTCCATTGAGCAGCAGGACAGGTCACATAAACAAAATGTGGGCTGCGGGGTGGGAATGAACAAACTCACTGCTCTTTGAAGTAAGAATAATATATGCAAATTTGTTTTATTTTAAGAGGTCAGTTCTTTCAAGTAATTTGTCTCAATTCTTAATAGGAAATTCTTAATATTTGTTTGTTGATTCTCCTCAGGTCTGACAGCTCATTCAACTTTATGGCTTTTTTTTTCATTTGTGGGGTGCAATTTGTCCTGTCTGTTGTTCAGGCCATCGGTATCTCCGGATGGGGTGCTTGGTGAGAATCTCAATCTTTAAAACCCCCATGCTATATAACTAATCAATGTGGCAAATATTCTAGTTGTTAAACTTCAAAAAGGGTGGCTTCTCATTGCCCTGCTACGCTTTGGCTGCAGCTTGGGTGCAGTGCAGTGTACATGGTAGTTTTGGTGGGGCTTAGCTGCACTTTGCCCCAGACTTATGTCCCATGGTTTGGTGCATTTTCTGAAAGTGCACTAAAAGTCCTGCTTGCAGGACTTAAAGTACAGTATCGCACATAATTGAGTAAACCCCTCACATTTTGTAAATATTTTATGATATCTTTTCATGTGACAACACTGAAGAAATGACACTTTGCTACAATGTAAAGTGGTGAGTGTACAGCTTGTATAACAGTGTAAATTTGCTGTCCCCTCAAAATAACTCAACACACAGCCATTAATGTCTAAACTGCTGGCAACAAAATTGTTGCTCTACATAAAGATGGCCTAGGCTATAAGAAAATTGCCAAGATCCTGAAACTGAGCTGCAGCACGGTGGCCAAGACCATACAGCGGTTTAACAGGACAGGTTCCACTCAGAACAGGCCTCGCCATAATCAACCGTAGAAGTTGAGTGTACGTGCTCAGCATCATATCCAGAGGTTGTCTTTGGGAAATAGAAGTATGAGTGCTGCCAGCATTGATGCAGAGGTTGACGGGGTGGGGGGTCAGCCTGTTGGTGCTCAGACCATTCGCGCACACTGCATCAAATTGGTCTGCATGGCTAACATGGATTACTGGAACCATGTCCTGTGGTCTGATGAGACCAAGATAAACGTATTTGGTTCAGATGGTGTCAAGCGTGTCTACAGTCAAGCATGGTGGTGGGAGTGTCATGGTCTGGGGCTGCATGAGTGCTACTGGCACTGGGGAGCTACAGTTCATTGAGGGAACCATGAATGCCAACATGTACTGTGACATACTGAAGCAGAGCATGATCCCCTCCCTTTGGAGATTGGGCCGCAGGGCAGTATTCCAACATAACGAACGACCCCAAACAGACCTCCAAGATGGCCACTGCCTTGCTAAAGAAGCTGAGGGTAAAGGTGATGGACTGGCCAAGCATGTCTCCAGACCTAAACCGTATTGAGCATCTGTGGGGCATCCTCAAATGGAAGGAATGGAAGGTGGAGGAGCGCAAGGTCTCTAACATCCACCAGCTCCGTGATGTCATCATGGTGGAGTGGAAGAGGACTTCAGTGGCAACCTGTGAAGCTCTGGTGAACTCCATGCCCAGGAGGGTTTAGGCAGTGCTGGAAAATAATGGTGGCCACACAAAATATTGACACTTTGGGCCCAATTTGGACATTTTCACTTAGGGTGTACTCACTTTTGTTGCCAGCGGTTTAAACATTAATGGCTGTGTGTTGAGTTATTTTGAGGGGACAGCAAATTTACATTGTTATACAAGCTGTACACTCACTACTTTACATTGTAGCAAAGTGTCATTTCTTCAGTGTTGTCACATGAAAAGATATAATAAAATATTTCCAAAAATGTGAGGGGTGTACTCACTTCTGGGAAATACTGTATACCTAAAGGCAAAACTTGCTTTTTGTTTTGGACAGACAGAGTGGAGAGGGATTACAACATCTGTCAGTTTTTATTGCTGTCTGTGCCCTGTTGGGGAGATTCAACCTCTCTATTAGTCTTGTTTACCATTATCATTGAAAGTGAAAGTAAAAGAAACTCCAAATTTGTTTTATTTTTTAATTGCTGGCTGCAATTGTTTTGTTTCAAAGTGTTTGTTTTTTTTTCAATGGTGTCAAAAGTGGAATATACCTGGGCAGTGTGCATCAGAGCAAAAGCTTATAATTTCCTTTGGGAGAGCATTTGACAGGGTAATTGCAGGCAGGACACAGTGAGAGACAAACAAGAAATTTTATATATCAGTGTGACCAGTTGTTATTTTCATGAAAGCTAGTGATTCAGAGTAAAAATATGTTATGATGTTAAAGTGTAACAAAAGACAAAGCTTTTTTTTTAGTTTTGGATAGAGTGGAGATAGATTAGAACGTAGGTCAGGTTTTTATTGCAGTCTGCGCCACCGTTGGGGAGATTCATTCTATTTGTCCTGTTTACCATTATCATGGAAAGTGAAAGTAAAAGAAAATTACAAATTTTGGGTTGTCCCCAGAAATGTAAAAGCGGGGAAATTTTCCAATAGGGAAACTTGTTCATGTGACCTGGGGGTCCCCAAGGAATTCTCTTCATTTTCAGTGATTTTCTCACTTCCTGTTTTGGCTATGCGGCAGGAAGTGAAGGTAAATCTCCCCAATGGGACACAGATGACAAAAAATAAATTAGGGGTTATAATCCTCCCTTTCTCTATCCAAAATGAAAAAAATGTTTTGCTTATAGTTCTACTTGAAGTCAAAAAGTATAAAACTGACATTATGATATAATTATCAGCAGGTATAAGAATTTTTTAATGACCTATGTTTATTCATACCATTTTTGTATTTTATCTCACAGGTTTTTCAAGTAACTGTAACATTAATGGATTGCAGATGCTATTTTTAAGTCAAGGGAATGCATTCCATGGCATTCCTTAGGTCAAAACAACATTTCTCAGGTCCTGCTTGTATTACTTGCACCTGCAGGTTACAAAAAAAATTCTAATAAAAAGCTAGTGCTGTTTTTCATTAAATATGCTGTAAAGTATGGGAGAAATTTTATATTTACTTATTAGTACTTATATTTATTTTATTTTTTTTTACTTTGAAGTGGTTGGCTGGCTGCAGTGACATTTTTTAGCCACAATGTAGGGGCTGCCATAGTGATGCTCTTCCCAGCTGTGATGTTTACTGTCAGTGCAATTGCAACTGCTCTAGCATTGGTTAAGGTAGGCAAATATATATTTTATGCTAATATCTAATTTATAAAGTGTTCTGTGTCAGTGCTGGCAACTTAAAGGCTTCGTCCACCTTTTGAGGAAAACTAGTAAATGCACATATTTTTGCAGAAGACAAAATGTGCATTTATTTTTTTCCTATGGGAGCCTGCAAAACATTGCACCCACGACCAGCAAAACATTGCACCCACGACCAGCAAATCGTGGGTGTCAGGCTCCTCCACACTCTCCTTCCAGCTTTGTGCCCGTACCTCCGTGTGGGTTGTCACTTGTAAAGACGAGTGAATGGATTACAAGGGCACTCATTCGCCCCCTTGCTGTCTATTGAGAACTACAAGCCCGACTGCCATGGTGGTAAACGGGACTTGTAGTTTTCCCCTCCACAGATCCCAGTGAATGAATAACACAACCGTGACATTTTTAATATGTTACAGTGGGTGCAGAGAAAGGATCCGTTGCTCACTGTCACAGTTTAAGGGGATTGGTGGGTGAACAAGGCACCAGCTGGAACATGTTACACCCTAAATACAGATATAACATGCTCCAAAGGTAAACTTATCTGTTAAAGAAATTCAACTATTATTACTAATATTACTATTATTACCCTGGAAAAAATATGTATATATATTTTGGAGTCAATGTAAAAAAGACAAGCGTTAGTGTAAAAGCAGAAGAGATCTAGAAACCAGATTGAAAGTGCTGTAGAGGAATCACAAGACACTGATTTTGTTTACTGAATTGCAAATTTCTAACCGGTAGTACACAGCAGTTTGCATTAGGGATTACCAGTGTCTGTGTCACAACAGGACCCCATGGCTATGTTTTTGTACAACAGCTTGAGGCAAGGTAGGGTCTTATAATTCAGTTTACATAATGGTTAATTCCTTAGATCAGTGTTTAAACCTTATACTACGCACTTTCACTTTCAACTCCCCAGCCTGAATTAGGAAGTTTCCACAATCAGTCCATAGGTAACACATGACAAACTGGCCAGGGGGAGAATGGGAGAATGGACAAATTGTGATTGTAGGGAAAAAAGTATGAGACACTTGAAAAATATGAATTTCTCTGTAAATGTTTTCAACCATTTACTTAGAGTGCTTTTTTTTCTTAAAGGTGCACAGACTGTACAGAAGGGCTGGTTGTAGTTTGCAGAAAGCCCAAGATGAGTGGTACTCTGGGACCTGGAAGAGTCCACCTACCCACAATGAACAGTACTCCAATATTTCTGGGCCCAGTCTACCCCAGTACCCTACAGTGCCAAGTTATCCTGCAGGAGGACAGTGGCCATAAACTTTTGCAGCTTTTTATAGCTTCTGAGTTTCCATTGGAGAGTTCTATGAAACCTACAGTGACCAAATTGCATTAATGTGAAGATACCACATAAAGCATCTGGCTCCTAAAGACTCGTTATTCCATATTCTAATTAGCCAGACTTATTATTATAATTTACATAATGAATATTACGCCAATAATTAAATTGTTAAAGACTGCAGTGATGTGTTGATATTACAGATTAAGTTGTGGATGTTTGAACATGTATTAAAGGGTCTGACTTGGTCTTTTAATCTGCCATAGAGATGTGAAAAGGTAAATCGGACTCTATTTCTAAGATGTTTTCATTTCTAAAGTTTTTTTTTTTTTAGACAATGTACTCCTCAAACATGTTATGGTATTTCATTTTAAGCCTTTTAATTTCCAGAAAATATTTTTAAATGTTGGTTCTGATTCCTTACAGCTGAATTTCAGGAAACCGCTTAATACACTATTGAAATACATACATGGGAGCTGTTTTACCTGCAAAGGATTCCTTACCTTACAGTTCTGAGTTTATACTCAACCCATTCAGAGAGCAGATCCAGCTTGGTGACCTGACTTTTTTTCTACTGCAGTTAAGCTATACAGGCTGGTCACCTTGCAGCTTGCAATTTGAAGGTAAAGGCACAGCAATGAATTATTCTTGTATCAAAGTGTCCTTGCTAGCTAAAGTGTGCTGTAGCACACGTGATTGGCTGCTGGTGCTACCAGTCCTTCTCCAGTTTTTTTTTTTTTTTTAATACTTCACCTTTTCACCTTTTAGACAAAAATAATAAATGTACATTTGTTTGCAGGTAAAAAAAATGTACATTTATTATTTTTGTCTACAGGAGCCTGGAAATCATTGCACCAGCGATCAGTAGATCGCTGATGCCATGCAGGTCTCCTGCAGATCTGTCAGAATATCTGTTTACCATACAGGTTGTATGAGCAAGCATATATTCTGACAGGAAGTTTCAATTAACTATTACTGTGCTTCACATTAACTATTACGGCGCTTCACAGCACTGTGGTAGTTCATTGAAAACTACAAGCCGACAGCTGCTAAGACTGTCGGGACTTGCATTTCCTTCATTCACAGTAGTCCATGAATGAATGATGTGGTCTTGTGGGCGGAGCCCTTCACGGCCACGCTGTTTTCAAATTTGACTTCCACCCGTACTATCTATCAGAGGGAAGGGGGCGGTGGGGGGCTGCTGCAGCTATGGGAACATGTTACATGTTCCCAAAGGTAAACTTTTCCTTTAACAGTTTAGCTCTTCCCAGCCCAGAGGCCTCTGATGCATGTAAATTCCATATAACATGAACTTTTCGATAGATACAGAAAAAATTAAGAAACATACAGAACGAAAGAGATCCTTCAATTTTGAGCTGTACAGCGAATTACAAAAGGCTAACTCCAAGTCAGTTTCCGTTACTTACACTAACTGAAATTCAAAATTTGTTTCATTTTTTTTAATCAACACAACTGCATTAATTGATTTTTCTGCCTTCAGAAAAGCTTCAGTTCAGCTTTAATGCCAAAAATATATACATTAACCAAAAAGAATTGCTAAGCTTTACAACTCTTTTTCAGTAATATTCATCTGACATACTTATTTGCATTTTGAAAATGTAAATATATATGAACCTAATATATTTCTGATATAATTAAATTATGTGTTATTGGATATAGTCCTCATTTTAGTGAGCCAGGATTTTGTATCTATTATATTATTATTATTTATGATGCATTATGCACATCAAATCTTACAGAAGTGCCTTACAGCAAAAGTACAGTTTTGTACATAGGAACTTTTTCTATTTTGTATACCTTTCACATTCTCACAAAATAATTTGAAATGTTTTTCTGGGGTTTATTTCTAAAGTCATGATTTGGCTGTATGTTTAATTTATTACTTAAAGAGAGCTTCAGTCAGATGTGCCAAAATTAAAAGCAGCTACAAAAATTGTAGCTGCTGACTCTTAATAAACAGATGCCCACCTGTCCAAGGATCCTGCTCCGTCTTCACTTGGACTGATTCTTCACTGGTCTTCAGGTTCCTGGTGCCGGCATGTTAACTGTTGGCAGCTGGCTGTGACTGCTTGTGGCTTCACATTTGAATGCCCACTGAATGGTCCCATAACCTTCAGGGACCTGTGATGTGGGACCTTTTGGGTGGAGTTCCACTTTAAAGTATATAACCCTCTCTGTTTATCATGGTATACAATGCACAGCACTGAGAAATTCAACATTTTTGAAAAGTTCAAATGTTTTTACCAAAACACCAGGTGAGGAGGAATCTTCCAATTGGTACACCTTTTCCAGTGACAACTGCCTAAAAGAGGATTTCCCTTCACTTTCAAGAGGTTTCTCAATTTTATTTTGTTCTCCAGGTCAGAAAGTTGAGGGAATTGTCCCTAACAGGACGCGGCAAAAAAACATCATGACAAGGAGTTTAAATATTCTATACATAACATTTTTAAAATGGCTTTGGAAGCACATTAAACCAAATGCAGGACAAATAATAGAACTTTGACTCCTTTTCCTTGTGTAAAATGTGTTGCCAAAATATGTATGGCAGCATGTCTCAGATCACTGCAGCGCAGCTCCAGGCTGTATTTCACTGTGACTAAGACACATAGAAAACGATTGTATGTTCTAGTGGTGACTGTCATTCTT